AAAAAAGAAAGCTGAAATCGTCCATCTTGGCTATTGCTAATTTGGGCTCACTTGGGCTGGCCAAAATCTACTCACAGCAGTGAGAAAGCACCTAACAGACAGGCATTAGTAAGACAAGGAGCTGTGTGTGCCCATGACCTTCAGTGGTCCTGGGGCTGAAGAGAGGAACAGAAGAGAACATGGTGTTCGTCTACGCACTAATGAAAGGTTTTCAACATTGGCAAATGGAAAATGTCATTGCTCTAGAATGTGCCATTGATCAAATCAATAGTCTGTATATGGCAGGTGAAATAATTTTCTTCTTGTGACTGGGGTTGGTCTTTTGTTCTAGCAGTGAAAGTAACTGCAGAATCCCAGGCTTTCCTGAGAATAAGAGGTGTTCATTCTGAGGCAGGGTCAATGTTCCGAGATATTTTATCACCTCCTTGACCTGCAGTGTTACTCTCATCAGCCAGCCAGTGAAGGAGGGGTTTTGTTCAAACATGCAATGATTTGAACAAGGGAGATTCCATGAGAATAACAAAGTCTTTAAGTACAGACAGAACCCTTAATCTTGATACATCATAAAAGATTCCATTTCAAGACAGCCCAAGCCTAAAGTTCTAAANGATACATCATAAAAGATTCCATTTCAAGACAGCCCAAGCCTAAAGTTCTATACCNTCTTGATACATCATAAAAGATTCCATTTCAAGACAGCCCAAGCCTAAAGTTCTAAAAAATAAATCATTGCTGGAGAAATACATGGCTTAGTGTCACCTTCCTCTTCCCTACTTTAAAATCTCAAGCTTTGCAGTAAGCCACAGCCTAAAAGGTTAAGCCTGTGTTTGAAATAAGAAATAGTTCCCCTTCAGGCAATAGGAGAAGGAAAAGGCAGGTAGGAAGGCCTGATTTGTTACAGATCCTTTTGAATGGTGCTAAGTCAACGGATAGTGATAATAGCAGAGATGGTGGTTACCTGATTCCACCCATTTGCCCTGTGATACAAGTTCAGAGATATGAAGATGGTAAAATCACCAGCCAATTAAATGGCTCAGAGGTACTAAAACCCAGCTCAACAAATTCAGATAGTCTACTGTCCCGTTTCCCCAGACACTTCCTCCGAAAAATGTAATTCTTATGCCCTTCTGAGACTTGTAGTCACTGAAGTTGGTACTAGTTCCACACAAGCTCAGCTGCATTACATAAAAGGCAACTGTCCACACTCCAGTCAGCCTTGACGGCATTAGTGACTAAAAAAAGCTCTAGACTATCTCAGTCTTCGATGCCACATCATTTATTTCCTTGTTGAGAAACCAGTGACCCATGGGCCATACATACACCTCCACCAAGCTTGTCTGTGTGGCCTCCTTCCTGGAGTGTCAGGAAAACTTGCTTATTTTCCAGATGGGGAAACCAAGGTCCAGAAAGGGCAAAACTCAGCCCAGACCCTGCTCCCAGTGCCCTGTGCTGACTGAGAGCTGTAGCACTCACTGGCCAGGTCTGACGGGGTAAACGGATTGGTTTGGGTTTGCTGGGCAGATGGCTAGAAGCCATAGTTGATCTAATGCACTCAGTCTGGGAAGTAAAAAGCAAACATTAATTGCCTTGTGGTGGAAGAGTGAGGGAGGCTGTTTTCTAAATGAATTTTAAAACTCTGCTACAGATGCTGCCAATAAGTGGACTGAGAAATACAGTGAGTACTTCTTTAAAGAGCATCTCTTTCACATTAAAGATGGATGCAGTGGCTCGAGAGTGTTGACCACCTAAGTTTAATTCCTGGCTCAGTAACTTACAGCTATGAGACATAGGGCAAGTTATATAACTGCTCTAAACTTTGTTTTCCTGATGTGTAAAATGGGAAAAATAATAGTACTTCACACAACTGTCATCAGGACTAAATGAAAAAGTCACCAGGAGAGAACTCGGTGTGTTCCATGGCACTAGCTATTATGTTGTGCTTAGTGATGAAAATATCACTTGTCTTGCTGGATAAAGTAGTCACAATTACTGGAGATATCCTTAACCTTTTGAAATTTAATTTGCCAAGTCAGTTAAGGAACAACAGAACATTTCAGTCAAGAGTGTATTGCTACTGATCAACAAAATTGGCTGAAAATAGAGCATTATACTCAAATACAGCAGAATATTATAGGGCAAAGTTTCTGAAATGGTAGCCCTCCTTACTACCCTCCCCTCAAAAAACAACCTTGGTAATAAAACACACTAAACATGGCTGCAAATACTGTATTCCCTATTTTTAAAAAAGAATGTTTGTATGGTGTATATGTTTTTTAAATGTGCCCACCAGATATTTTTATTTTTCTCTTGGTCCTTTGCAACAGAAAGATATGCAACAGTTCACGAAATATACTTAGAGCTACCATCATAATAGCTGGGCATGATAATCATCTTCAGTTACCAGGAAAGGAAGGGTACACTCCTAGGAAGACAGAAAACTAGTTTATAAATATTTTTATCTACACAGAATTACAAGATATCCCAAGCATACCAGAGTTACCCTTTTATTTAAAACAAACAAGTCTACTACTCCATCAAAAAACATTTCCCAAGGACCCTAGGAGTTTACTGAACTACAAGGACCAATACTAGTTTCCGCAGAAAACTGAGAGAGACAGTGGTACTGCCCAGTGGAGAGCCCACGCAAAAATAAACTATTCTCCAAGTTAATAAGGTGAAAATAAATATCTGTCACTTTTTGAAAAGCAGTGGAAAAATGTGTGTGCAGGTAACTGAAATGCCATCCGTGAAATAGTTACAACCACCAAAATAAAAAAGGCTTATTTTTCTATTTTACTTCAACAGGAACAAATAAACTGGTCATCAGTCTGATAAACTCTAGATTTGCCACATCTCCAGAAACTGTACACGTGGATTGTTCTTTTGTTTTACTTGAATCATTTTTAACATGTATATCATATAAGGCAAATTCACTTCATGCTTTGCTTCAGTAAAATGGAAAAGCTTTCTCTGAAATTGGCACTAAAGTTGTTTTAAGTTCTTAACAGCAAAGAGATACATCCAACTATAAGCAGAATGAACAGGCATAATACATATCAATCAAAATGATTTCCTTTATATCATCAGCAATGAGTAACTCCAGAGGTAGTATGGCAGAAACGAGCATGGATCCTATCAGGTCACAACTGATGAAGAAATTAAATTTATTTTTTTCTATGGTTTTGCCCATAAATTGCTTTACACATTTAGGACCTGAATAAAAGCCGCTCTCAGCAGAATCTTGGCCCATTAATTCAACTGTCATATCAATTTACAACTTTTAGAACTGCAGATATAAAAAATGTAAAGTATAAAATTATGTAAGTTTGAAATGGTTTTAATCATATTCATTAAAAATATTTACATTTCCCAGTACTTACTTGACAAAACGCCCTTGCAATAAATTCTACTCTAAACTTCTATTTATAAAATGAGGCTCATTTATGAGATTTCCATGAATTGTTATACTGCAAATTACTTACATTCTGCAAAATATTTCAAGAACTTTTCATATCAAAGGTAGTTTATATTGGATTATCTGAAACCCAATAGTGCCCACAGATGAGCTTCTTATAGTTCTTTTCATTAATGCTTGGAAAGCACTGTGAAAATGAAAAGTGCTGTTAAGTGCTATCACCTCTCTTAAACTTCTACTTACACTGTGTGCACATTGTGAAATAAACACATATGCAGCATGGCCATGTTTTGATATGTATTTTTATTTCCCTGCAGTTTTCACTTATCAAGAACAAGTAACAGGGAAAGTTGTCTGAACTAGTGCATAAACAAACATTCTGAAACACCACTACACGTATCTAATTTACAAGAACCGTATAAAAAAAAGTCACTAAAACACTACACTATGAAGGTGTCCAACGCTTACAGTCAGACTTTTTCCAACCCGTTACTTGCCTTGTAGCCACAGGAAAACTCTCCAAAATTGAAAAGACAATCTT